CTTTTAAGACTAAACTAAACATATTGCAAATGATAATAATCTTAAAGGTAATAATGTCTTTTCTTTCAAGAGCAGGCAGAATTATCCAAGCCTTTTTAGTAGTGTGCTGCCCCATGCCATGGGAAACAGATTATCCTAGCAAAGGAAGATTAGGAAGGGGAAAGGAAAGGGACTGGAAATTGGTATAAAAGGCTTGAGTAGGTAGTGTCACATTATACTCACTCAATCAGATAAAATCTCCCACTGAAGTAGATTATGGTTCCATGTCAAGCTATGGAGCCTGGGTTATGACTCACTTGTAACGTAATCTCTCCATTGCCAGCGTGCATTTTCTATTCCCATGGCCAGATCAGGAAAGAACAAGGGAGGAGTCACAGAAGCAGAACGGGACTGGGAGCTTAGAGACCTGGGCCTAAATCTGGCTTCAGCTCAAAACTGTTCTGTCCCTCATTCCATTCGTCACTCCTCTTATTCTTCCCCCGACCCCCCTGTTCCAGCCTCCTAATCTAATGTTCACCAAGTACATACACACATACACACATACATTCAAATGTCACGTATGTTTAGTACTAACTATATGCCTGTGCTAAGTGCTTTAATGTATATTATCTCTAAATATCACAACAACTTTGTGAGGTAGACATTATCACTCCCATTCTATTTATTTATTTAGATATAATTCACATATCATAAAACTCATATTTTTAAACCACACAATGTAGTGGTTTCTAGCATATTCGCAAAGTTGTACGACCATGACCATTATCTAATTCTAGAACATTTTTATTCCCCAGGAAGAAATCCCATACCCACTAGCAGTTATTCCTCATTTTCCTCTCCTCCCATCCCCTGGCAATCACTAATCTACTTTCTGTCTTTATGAATTGGCCTGTTCTGGACATTTCAAATCGATGGACTCATATAATATGTGGCATTCTGTATCACTCCCATTTTACATATGAAGAAACCAAGACTCCAATAGGTTAAGTAACTTGCCCCAAGTCCCACCGTTAATAAAAGGCTGATCTAGAAGAGGAACTCAGGTCTGATTCAAGTACTTGTGCTTGCTTTTGACTACTTTTGTTTCCCACTTGTTACACCAGAAAACAATGGTGGTTAAAACTTTTGACTACTATATGCTGCTTCCATACAGGAAGAAAATTGAGAGAAAGTGAAAGTTTTCGATATAATTGGGGAAATGGGGTTTTGTTCATCTAAGGTAATACAAGTAACAAATAAGAATCACAGTTATAGCACCATCTCTGCTAAGCTTCTGTTGAAATTCTGAGGCAGCTCTTCTAAACAGATCGTGGCAAATTACTAGAAAGCACACCCATCCCAGTCTCTGGCTGTTTTACCCCACAACCAACTTCCCTCCACCCCTCAGCCCCATGAAGATGGCAACTGTAAGAAACCAGGCTGTAAAGAATATCCTCTTTCCCAACTTTCCATCCCTTGCCCAGATGTCACTCTGCCACTTAAACTGTATTATCCATACAAATTTCTGTCTAACAAGTCCAAGAAAAATGTGCACTAGGGCTTTTCTTAAATAAATAAGTATACTAGTGCTTTTCTTCTCCCTTTTAATTCTGGCAACCAAAAGAGGGTGAAGGATGTTGGAGAAACGAAGTTGTTAGCAAACCAATGGCAAAGAGCTATAAAAACCTAAGAACTGTAACTCACATAAAATGCCTATAATCTACCTTTAGCTTTTTCCAATTTTTCTACTTTATATGTTGCGTATGCATATGGCTGAGATTAGATTACCCCTTTCTAGAGGGCCAGGTTCAGATCTTCCTATAGCCCTTTTCCTCCCTCATCCAACATAAACAAACAGGTGCACTGTAATGATAATTATAATTTTTTTTCTTTCTTAGCAGAAAACTATAGAAGGGGAAGACTGATCTCCACTAACTCAAGGCCAAGACCAATGTTTGTTATTTACTCTTTAACCCCATTACCAGGGGCTCAAATGTTTGTTGACTAGTAATAGCTAATACTTACACAGCACCTTACCAGGCACTGCTCTAAACACATATACTAACTCCCAACAACCCTAGAGGCAACTACTATTATTATAATCCTCATTTCCAGATGAGAAAACCATGGCACAGCTCCGTTGTGATCTGCCCAAGGTCACTCAGTTAGTAAGGAGTGGAACCAGGAAGAAAGGAATGTGGCACAGATTAAAGCATTCCAACTAAATACATTTAAGTCATTCCAATTTCTTAAAATTGAGAGGCTTACGATACACTGCAACAGCTTAGAACTCTACTAGATCATAAAACAAGAAAAATACTTCTCCCTCTGCTACTCTGTCGTACTCCACTCTGCCTGTCTTCAGAAGTGGTCAAAGCCTTTATCTCATTACTTCTGAACCCTCTGACAGAGGAAAATCAACAGATCGACAGGCTCTCATTCCCTATAGTTAAGTGAAAAGAAGGCCAATGCTTTGGGAAGAAAAGGAGGAACTGAACCAAGGCGGTTTCACTTATCATTCAGTTTTCCCTGTACAGGCCGAGCTACTCTCATTTTAGATTCCACCTACTTTTTAACTTCTAAAACATCATGTACATTATATACTCACTACACTGCCCTCAGTGAATTCAAAACTGTGAAAATTAAGAAGGAAGCGTTATTTGGGGGGTCGTTCCCATCTCTTTTGTGGTTAAAAGTGAAATAATAAAAATTTACAGTTAATCCATGATCTTCAATTGCTCAAATACCATACTACACCCAACCTAGAAGACACTTCCATTCTGAAACGATGATTAAAACCTTCAAAAGAGGTTTTAAGAATTGCGGTTAAGAATTGAGTGTTCCTTCGCTTAACATTTCAAGTTCCTATTAATCAGAAACCAACATTCACAGAAGAAAGTTGAGACAGTCTCTGAATGAACTTGATCTTGTAAAGATAGTCTGTAAAGGGAGAGAACAAGGGCTAGTTGTCTTTTAAGGAATGGTTTCTACTTTCTAACACAATCACCTAAACAGCTGGGAAAATGGCATCCCCAAAATATACATAGTAAGTGCCACCTCACTAATTCTCCTGATGTTCCTTTTCACCTCCAAAAATAAAACTGTCCACACTAAAGGAATGGAAGCATTTCATGGAACAAAATCAAATGGCTCCCAGTCCTGTCATCTGTACACTCTCCTGGTTTCTATTTCAGATGGACAGACTCCAGAGGGTGAAGAGAGTTAAATACGAAAAGATTAGTTCATGATGCAGTCAACTAGAAAAGCCAATGAGGCAAAATACAAAGGTGCATTTGTATTTCTTAAGTTGGCTTTTAAAGAATAAAAACAAGAGCTAGCCAAGGTGCCTTGAAAACCTCCATCTCTCTGAGGTGAATCTACTCTCTGATTTTTTATCAGTAGTAATTCTAAAATAGTTGTTAAAAAATTACAGCAACAGAGGGCTTTTTAAGATAAGCTATAAGAAAAACTTGTGAGCAGGGAAAGCCGCTGGAAAGCATTGCTGAGGGAGAGGGTGAAAGTACACGTTCTGGGGCTCATCCCTGAAAACATCTGCCCCTCTCACCAGCTGTTTTTGATAGCCTCACAGAAATTAGTCCCCTCTATGGGTCCATTTTAAGAATAACAAATCTCTGGGCAGAAGATTGCAAAACCACAACTTCAGAAAAGATAGTCATCCCCCCTCGTCCCACTTATCCCATGAGGTAAAATAAAAGCTTTTTTATTTACATCCAGGCCAACTAAGTGGAATATCATCAATCAGAATCTTATTTTTATCACCATTTCTGGAGTCTCAGACAAATTTAGGATATTAAACATGCAACTTTGGAAATATAGGGCCCAACACACAAACTCTGAAGAGTTTAAGAATTCACTGCATTCTACGCCTCACGTTCAAATTTGCTGTCAGCATCTAAATTAGTGTTTCTGAAAGCGTGCTTGCTGGCCCACTTGCGTCAGAATCCCTACCCATGGCTTGCGTTTAGATTCTTAGGACCCACCCACTAGACATAATCAATCTGTGGGATAGAGCCTGAGATATTTTCAACATTAATCTTAATACACACTTTAGTTAGAGAATCACTCAATGAAACCCACTGACTGCTATACTGTCCCAAGGTATCTGTCTGCATGGGATGCCAGTCCCTTCTTCCATCCAACCTGTTATTTCCTAATTAGACCAAGTAGTTATCAAACCCTCCAGTTCCCCACCAACAGCAGTTTAAGAGGAAGCAAGAAATTAGGAAAGGTCAAAGACGCTGCACGATTTTAAATGCTTTAGGGCCTCCCAGAGAGAATCAAGTCAAGTTTCAGGACCAAAAAACGATCCTTTCCCTGTCTACCTTCTTCACCCTAAACACAGTCCGCATCTCTGGCAATTCCCTGGCACCCATCAGACATCCTTTCCTTTAGCGACCCCAGCCCCATTCCCCAGTACATTCTTTTCACAGAGTTGCCACATGATTGATGTAAGAGTATTTCACATACATAATCAAACACACAGATGCGCGCGCGCGCACACACACACACACACACACACACACCGAACACACAAAATCCACTACAGTTCCCTGGCCTCCTAGGGCTCCCTGCCTACCGCCCGTCCTCCATCCCTCCATTCCACCATCCCTAACTGGGGCTCTGACCACAACTGCTCAACCCCGAACTCAGAGCAGCTTTCCTCACTCCGAGGCTTAACCTCCGCCCTCTCAAACTGGGGCCCTCCGCGCTCCCGCCCGTGCACAGCCCGGTCCCCTGGATCCTGCTCCTGGCACTCCTGCCTTCGGGCGCCCCTTGCCCCCTGGTCCCCGCGGCCGAGTCCCTGAAGCCCCTCCCCTCCCCCACCCCGAGAGATGCCCTCCCACGGCATCTCGGATCCGGCCAGCTCAGGCCCGGGGGCCCCGCCACGCGGCCCTTCTTCCACTTTCCGCCTCTTCCCGGGGTCGTTTGCAGGGACAGGGGTGTGGCCCACCCTCAGTTTGCCTCTCCAGCCCTGTCTTCCTCACGGCTACCCTCCTTACCCGCCTGCAGCCCGATCTCGGCGACATCGCCGGCAGGGCCGCGCTCAGCCCCGCCGCCTTCCGTGGGGGAGGAGGGACAGCTGTGGTTGTGGGAGCCCTTGATGTCGCGGAAGAACTTCTGCGTTTCGCGCAGGTTCTGCCTCAGCCGTCCCAGGTAGCGGCGGTAGCGGCCAAAGCCCCGGCACAGCTCGCGGATCATTCCGCCGCCTCCCGGGCCGGGACCCGAGACCGGCTCGCTCCCCCAAGGCACCCCGTCGCCCTCCATCGCCTCAGCCTGCTCAGCCTTCGCGGCTTGGTGCCCGGCCCTCTGGTCCGGCTCCCCTCCTCCCGCCCCCCAGTGCTTAGGGCAGGAGGAATCCGCCTCCTGACGCCCCCGCCTGCAGTCGGCCGGGTTCCCAACCTCCGTCACCGCCGTTGAAAACAAACCAAACCGCAGTGCGCTGCGAACGGAACCTTTATCTCCACTGTCCAGAGGAATGAGGGAGCGATCACCGGAGCACCCCGTCACTGCGGGGTCTCCTGGGACTTGTAGTCTGGGCCGGGGCCGAGCTCCAAAACCTGCAGACTGTGGATGCGACCGACCGCCCTTTGGTATACATCTCCCCCGTTCTCACACAGAGCTCACAC